TAAATTTTATTTGATTGAAAAAAAAATGATTACAAACGAATTTAATTTGTTTCAAAGAAATTTAATTTATTTCAAAGAAATTTTATTTGAAAAAAAGAATGCTTTTGCCCTAAAAAATTATTATTCATTTCAATAAATAATAATTTTTTAGGGCAAAAACATTTTTTTTAACGTTCGGATTTTTTTGAAAATACGTTTTTTGTACTTTCTTGACTCTCGGGGACTAAAACGCAATTTTTTGCCCCTTAAAGTCGATCCGAGGTCTGATTAATATACACATGTTCATATAGTCTACAATGAGAAGAGGTGCAGCCTCATATTAATGATGTAAGAATTTCATATATTGTGTGCAGTATATCGATTGTATAACCATAATGAAAAACCTCCGTTCTACTAAAATACTTCCGCAAAAAACTCGAGTTGTATTCACAATGAAATAATTCTACACGTCCAGTGTAAATACCAGAAACAAAAAAAAATGGAAAAAACAGGCAATAATTCATAAATTACAACCTTTAGATACTCATCAATGTACCTTCATGTACCACAAGTAATAATTAAAAGCATTTACTTTATTAAATAGTTTATTAACATAACTATATTGCCTCTACTGCATCCTCAACTATTGCATTAATATATGCTTCAAAAAGTGTTGAAATAATTAATAGAAAACTTGTACAGCAAAGCATATTTGTACCATAAAATACGTTACGTTAATATTTTCCATACGAATATAAAAATAATTTTCTATACAGAAATTATTTCTAAGTAGATAATTATAATTTTAGTATGATTTACAATCAGTTTTAAAAGACTAACTTCTTATTTAAAATTTAAATATTGTTAGGATTAATTTTTTATAATTTCGTATCTTTTCGTTTCCCCAGGAAGTTTGTTTCATTCACAAAATGTATTTCGGGGTTTTTTAGTTGGAAATTTTAGATCTAGGAATAGATTACAATGACAGGTTGTTACGCGATGAGTCAGAGGAGGAAAATCAAAAGACCCTTTTTTTACAGCCCCTATTTCTGAATCATTCAGACCAGCATGTGGCTCAAATGCGTAAGGGCCACTATCAGAATTATTGATTGCTTAACATTTCTCGTGTCTTTCTATTTTTTTTTTTTTGGTTTTTTTTTGTTCCGCTTTTGTTCACGTATATATGTGATAAAGTGACGTATGTTTGTGATAATGAAAAATAATATTTTTCAACATGTTGATAGAGAGAAAAATTCATTATCTTTTATCATATTTCAAACCTGATAAAAAGACGCTCTTTTCACTAAACATAAATTTTTTTGGGTATTATCGCTTTTCTTCTTTTTCTTTTCGTTGGAAATTGCTGTTCTGTTCTTTTTTTTCGTTCTTTTTTTTTATAAAAATTGCTCTTCTGTTCTTTTTGTTGCAAATTGTTGTTTTCTTTTAGTTGCAAATTAAAGTTTTCTTCTTTTTTTTTGTTGTATATTTTTGTTTTGTTCTTTTTCTTTTTTACTGGAAATTAATATTCCAAGTTTAAAGTTTTTTCAAGGATATCAAATTGAGCCAAAAAACGTATCAAAATTGTTGGGTTGTATCTCAATTTGATATCCTAAGAAAAGCTATGAAAGTTTGGAACGAAAAATGTTATTAAAAGTATCAAATTACAACGAATTGCTACAAAAAATGTGGAGCAAATAAAAAATTAATCCAAACTTTTGGTATCAATTTGAACCATTTTAGTACCAATTTTGTTACTTTCAAGAAAAGTGTGACTACAAATATTTTCAAAAATTATAATATCCCTAAAGTTGATGATGATTATGATAATGATTGTGATTATGATGATGATTATGATGATGATTATGCTAATGATTATGATAATGATTGTGATTATGATGATGATTATGATAATGGTTATGATTACGATGATGATTATGATTACTATGATGATGATCATGATGATGTTGATGATAAGTGATAATAAAAATAATTTCCCAAAATATTTTTGCAGTTAAAGAAAATTATTAAAGAAGGTTTGGAAAAAGAGAATATTTTTAGCTTTCTATAGTTGATGAAATAAAGTATATAAGAATGAGTGATGCGGTAAAAAAGATTGAGTGGCTTTTAATGAAATCAAATTTTAAGGTTCGTGGAACACCTCTCTCGTTGAAAATTGCTTTGGGGTTAGTGGTCTTTAAACTTGTCTTAAAAAAAGGAAGCAGTGATTCTTCTTTAAACGCTCTATTATTTCTTCAATAGCGACATCCTGTTCCTTCTTTGAAAGCAATAATCGAGGTACAAGATTATCTTCCGGTGAATTTAGCTTAGCGGCTATTTTTACGGTTTCTTCATGTAAAACCCAGATTCAAACAGTGTTTCTCGATTGAATGATTCTTTAGCTTAAATTTCTAGTTTTATTTCCAGTTTAATATTTCTATTATCATCATTTCTCTTGGTTATATAATAATTTGCAACGACAAAATAGAAATTTTACCTTTAGTTGAATTACTTTTGTTCGAAGTCGTCAATAAAAATTTTATTCATCACAAGGGAAATATTTATTTGGAAAAATTTTTATTTTCAGAAATTTGTATTTATTTATTTTTTAATTTACTTTGAGACAAATATACTTGGTTCAAATAAAATTGCATTTTGATTATAATTCGTGGACTATTGAATATTTTGTTGTTGTTATTATCATTATTATTATGTTGATCATTATTATTAAAGATCATGTAAATTTGATAAAATTTTTTGATTGGAAATTAATTTTTTGCAAAGTGTGCCATGTGCGAGTGTCTCGAGGAAAACATTGCCTTGAGTGGTCTTGAATCTTGACAGATTCTTGCGAAATTGAACCTTGGGTCGAATCTTGAGGTAAATTTCTTAAGAATTAAATGTGGAACACTGTTTTCTTCAATTTTCAAATCGAGAATTGTTGCGATATTCTTAAATCACAGATGGATATTTTAATCTTTGATTTCGATTATATTTTTGTTAAATGGAAGAGAAAAAACATTGAGTATAAAATATTTTTTATAAAATAATTAAAAAATACAGACTAATTTTTATTTATTTTGTATATTAATATAGTTCCAAATTTGTTGTTATTTATAGTTATTTACAGAAATTTATATAGTCACTTATAGTTATTTTTAGTTACTTTCGGTTATTTTTAGTCACTTTCGGTCATTTTTAGTCATTTTCGGATATTTTTAGTTACTTTCGGTTATTTTTAGTCACTTTCGGTCATTTTTAGTCATTTTCGGATATTTTTAGTTACTTTCGGTTATTTTTAGTCACTTTCTGTTATTTTTAGTTACTTTCGATAATTTTTAGTCACTTTCGGTTATTTTTAGTTACTTTCGTTATTTATACTTATTCGTAATTCCAAATAGTCGGAGAAAAAAATTTAAATAAGAGAGAAAACTCATTCTGTAAGTGTGTTAGAGAGATCTAGATTTCATTTGAAGAAAGTTTTCAATCTCCAATTATTTCACATATTATATTCGTGAGAGTATAATGAATTATTTGATAGTCCATTGTTATTTTTAATTTATAAATATTTATAAGGTTAAAACTAAATGCACTTGAAATTGAACATTCTACTAAACGGAATTCTTACCTTATCTATTTAAATTTGTTCGCAAATATTAGTTCACAAATAATTAATTCAGCTATTAAAAATGTAAGACTCTCATTATGTTTGTTTCACAATATCAAAATTTTTCCAGACATAAATTTCCGTAATTATCTATTTTCTAATGAATAATAGAATAAAAATGTTCAATTTTGCTCTTTTAATTCAATTTTTCAAAATCGAATATTGAAAAATATTTTTAATATTCGATTTTTTCTGAATTTTTCAAATCGAAATTATGTGCAATTTAAATTTTTTTAATAATTCTAACAAAAATTTTAGAAATAAATTAATTATTATAGTAAAACGACCAAAAAAGCCGTTTTATTACAATTATTATTAAAAATTTTAGAAGTTAATTTTTCAAACATATACTTGAAGTTTGATTTAAATATAGAAATTAATATCTGCTCAGAAGAAGATCAGTCAATAAAATTATATACCTCTTATCGTGATCTGTAAAGAATTTAATTCGATGATTTAATAATAATAATTTAATTATGCCATTCATCTTGATAATCATCGATTTGATTGGATTATTTGTTTAGTACAGTCGCAAGAGTATCATTTCCAGTGAGATTTCAGTTATAAAAAATGCTATTTTGGAATAAAAATGACTTTCACAATTAAGATTTCGAAGAAAAAAATTAATATTACAATTGATAAAAATTTCACCTAGGCTTTTTTTAATACAAAATAAAAAAAATTACTTCTTAACTAAGTAAAAACGTTTAATTTTTATCATTTTCTTTTTTTTGGTATCAAATTTTATCAATATTTGAATAGAAAATAAATTTTGTTTTTTTTTAATGTTCAGAAAATTAGGAAAACTGATTTTCTATTAATATATTAATTAATAATTATTAATGATTAATTATTAATAAATTATTAATTAATAAATTACAAATTAGATGAAATGAATTAAAATTTATAATTCAGAGAAATTTAAGTAAATTAATAAAACAAATAAAAACTATTTAAGTTCAAATTTCGCGCCAAAATAATTGTCGATAGAGGGCAGTAAGAAAATTCGTTCACTAATGAGATGACTGTCGGGGTTTCGGTATAAAAACCACTGCTTTTTGTTAATATTATCGATTAACATTAATTACTTTTATACTAATTATTAATCAATAATATTAATAAAAAGCAATTGTCTTCATCTCATTAGTGAGCGAGTCTTCTTATTGCCATCTATCGACAGTTATTTTGGCGCGAAATTCAAACTTAGAAAGAAAATTTAATTAGAAATTAAAAAAAAAGTTAAATTAAATTAAAAATTTGGAAAAATTAAAATTAGAAAAATTAAATTATGAGTAGAAAAATTAAATTTGAAACAAAAGATCGAGAGAAGGGGGAAAAAATGATTTTGTGAACTCACCTTTGCAATGAGTTGTTGACCAGTTTTTACATCGACACATCTGTACAATGCGCTGCCTTCAGCTGCCGCATCAAGAAGAAGAAATCGATCGCCAAGGATCGTTGGTCCTTGATGATCAGTATTAACTGGTTCACAGCTGGAGAATACAACTGGTGCAACCGGTGTTTCTTCACTGTTTTTTGATTGTGGTACATCCTGGTAATTTCTAACCAGAAATTTTCCAGTACTCGTACGACTCACTTGTAGATGATAGGGATCCTGTCTGCTCACAGCCACTCTCATGTTGCACGTTTAATAAAGCAACACAATTCACGTCACTTTTTTTTTACACTTATTTCTCTATTATATTCACAACCTTTTTTTTCTTCGTTTTCTTCTTTTCTTCAATATATAAAATGACTAACGAGAAAAGAAAACTAAAAACACCACAATAAATATAAAAATGCGGTGTATCTTTAAAAAAAAAAAAATTATTCACTTTTAAATTCGATAGAATTGTTGATTTCAGAGCTAGTAGTTTAGGTATAAAAACACGAACACTTGGGTGGTTTTTGTTTTGATAATGATGTGTGTGGGTATGAAGGAGATTTCTTCGTCAATGGTGAAATTTGTTTGATTGATTCTTGCAAATGTGGCTTTTGTGCGCTTATGTGGAATCTCAATGGAATCCTTGGACGGAAGGAGATCTTCGAGAGAGAGAGATGACTGACCGTTAATGTCGAGTCACCCGGATGAATAGGTCCTGAAACAGTCAACATTACATTCGTCATTAATTTAATGAGTAAAACCACTAGTCATACATTCTTAATTGTACTTCTACTTTTGTCTTCTAGAAAGAGACTCTTTTTAACAAAACAAGTTTCTTTCTTATCCGCAACAAAAAAATTCCCCAATTTTTTATCTTTTTAAGGAAAGAATTTATTTAATTGTGATTCTGATTCTTAATTGTACTTCCACTTTTGTTTTTTAAACAAATAAATTTTTGTTTTTTTTTCTTATCCTCATTGAAAATTCCCCAATTTTTTATCTTCAAGGAAAGAATTTCTTTCATTTAATTATGATTCTGATTCTGATTCTGATTCTGAATGTTACTTCTATGTTTGTTTTTAAAACAAAACAAGTTTCCTATATGTTGACGAATTTGTTATTATTTTCTCTTATCCACAACAAAAAATTCCCCAATTTTTTATCTTCTTGAGGAAAGAATTTCTTTCGATTTGATAAAATAATTAGTTTTCGAATTTTTTAGTTCTTAGGTCCGAAATATTTTCCAAACGACTTGTTTTTTTGGTAACTATCAAATCTGGATTGCTACTTTCATTACAATTAATTATTAATTGTTAATTATTAATTATAATAATTAAAGTAATTAAATTGTTAATTTAATTATTGAATTAATATTAGCAATCTATTTTCTCCTCCATATTATACAATATATCCGGGTTTTATTGACACTATCAATAATAAGTCACCTAAAATTAGAGTATTATGGGTTTGATAAACGTTGAACTTTCGAGAGGAAATGATAATAATTTATGAACTTCAATCTTCGTTGAGAGATGTTTCTTTTTGAAAAGGAAAAACTATTTTTTTGAGTTTTTTCTTCTTCTTTCTTATAAGAAATTGCTTCTTTTCGTTTTCTTCTTTCATTTTTGAAAAAAGGAAAAAAGAAGTAATTATGATGAAATATTTATACCTATAGTTTTGCTTTTTTTTAATCATAAAAGTTATCGAAATTTACAAATGACACTTTATTTGGATAATTTTCTTTTTTTTTCTTTTTATAGTTTAAAAACGAAAACAAAAGACAAATTGTTGTGAAAATATGATTTTCACAATATTTGCCTCTAGATTCTATATTTATTCTCTCTCTCTCTCACTGTTTCGCTCACATTCTTTTGCATATCGCGCAACAAGTTATTATAACTTTCTATGAAATGTTACCGACATTTTTGCTTTTTTTACAAAAAAAAAAAGAAGAAAAAAAGAGGAAAAAGTTTAGTTTCACTCGCTGATTATACTAAAATTTAAGCAAGATGCTAAAATAGTTTTGTGTCATTTTTTTTATGTTCTACGTTGCAAAATGGAGCACGAAGGCAAGGGTGCTAAATAATAATGTAAAAATTATAATTATAACAGTAATAATAATAATAATAGTTATTATTAATTATTAAAATACTTTTCGGAAATGACTTTTAAAAATTATTTTACAATAAAAAAGACTATTGTTATTAATTTTATAATTCTTACAATTATAATTTATTATTATACAATAAATAAAACAGAATTCGTCTCTCGTGAAGAGAGAGAAAAAAAGGAACTTGGCATCGATAAAAATGAAGGTTTTTAACATTATTTTTCTATATATCTATATACTTCGTCATCGATTCGCATTGAAGCAATCGACCTTGGTCGTCATAGAGGCAAAGCGCAGAAATTATTTCTAACGAAACTTCCATTTGAGAGGAAAGGAGAAAAAAAACTCGATTGTATTAAAATATTCTTTTTGTCGAAACGGCGAATCACTGACAATTTCAAAAGAGACAAGTGTGTATATATATATAGTGTTTCAACAGCGCTCGCGCTCGCATTCTTACACAATTTATTCCGGCAGAGATTCTTTAAGGTCATGGATACGACTGGATGTATAAGATGCCCGCATATAATATAAGATTTAATTCAAAAAAAAAAAAAGAATCAAAAACGACCGTTTTTAGCATTATCTACATAATTTACGTAAATCATTTTATTTCGCAATTTCGACATTTATTTTTTTTAATATTTGGAAAATTGGAAAAAAGAGGTTTTTTAATTTTTTCGATTTATTGCATTGAAGTTTTGAGACTGTTCGTATTTTTTTATTCTAGAGACAATACATTTTTGATCTTAACAATATGTTTTTGTTCTGAAAAATATTTTTTTTTTCTAAAAGAGATTCTAAAAGAGAATAGAATGTTCTATTTTTTAGAACAAGAAAGGAAATTTTTAGAATAAAAATGGTATTTTTTAGAACACAACAATATTTTATAGAACAGGCTTTTTTGTCTGTTTAATTCTAAATACAATAGATTAAATAAATCGTGTTTTTTAGATAAAACAAATTTTTTTAGAACAAAAAAAGTATTTTTTATGCTACAAAATTTTGTTTTGTTCTAAAAAAAATACATTTCGTGTTTTAAAAAATACCTTTATATTCTACAAATATTGTTTTGTTATAAAAAATACCTTTCGTGTTCTAAAAAATACTTTTTTTGTTCAAAAATTTTTTTTTTCTATAAAATATTGTTTTGTTATACAAAATACACTTTGTCTTCTAAAAAAAATTTTGTATTCTACTAAATATTATTTTTTTGTGAAAAATACCTTTCGTGTTTTAAAAAATACTATTTTTGTCCAAAAAAATACCTTTTTTATTCGACTAAATATTGTTTTGTTCAAAAAAATATTTTTTTATTCTACTAAATACTATTTTATTATAAAAAATACCTTACGTGTTCTAAAAAATACTATTTTGGTCCAAAAACATACATTTTTTATTCTACTAAATATTGTTTTGTTCTAAAAAAATTTTGTTATTATACTAAATATTATTTTGTTATAAAAAATATTTTTCCTGTTCTAAAAAATACCTTTTTTATCTACAAAATATTGTATTGTTCTAAAAAATACTTTTTTGTTATAAACAAATTTTTTGTTCTACAAAATATTGTTTTGTTCCAAAAAATACACTTTGTGTCGAAAATATATTTTTTTTCTAAAAAAAGCTACTTTTTTTAGAAAAAATAAGTATTTTATTATTTGTATAAAAGTAACTTTCCTTAATATTTAGTATTTTTTGTTGAAAAAAAAGTGTTTCAATTTTGGAAAATAATTTTTTTCACCATTTCTAGTATTTTTTAACGAATAGAAAAAAATACGAATTGTTATAAATTTTGAATTTTTCCAACTCGTACGGGATAAAAATTGTTACTTGACAGCAGTGTCAACAGGATGTTGTGCACTTGATTTTTTTTCAACCTCGAAACGCATGATTATGCGCATTTTATTGCAATATCGAGAACGTGTAAACGAGAATATGTTAATCGTATATTATATCATTGCATTGTCTTTTTTTTAAATAACTTTTAATAATTTTTCAGAAAAATTAATTAGATACAAAAAAATAGGTTTCTCTTCTTCTTACATAAAAAATACGCTCTTGAAAAGCTTATTTTGTTCCCTCGTTACTATTTTCTCGAATATTAAAGAAAAAATACGTATATTTACGTAAAATTTATTTATGAACTTAAATTATTTATTAAATAACTTAAATATTATTTTTTTATCATTAAATACATAAATTACCACCCAAAATTGTATTTAAAAAAACGAATTTTTTTCTTTACTTTATAATAATTGATTTCTTAAATAACATGAGAAAAATTTTCTTTGCGAAAAAGTTAATTGAGAAACTTTTGAAAAAATAATTAAGAAAACTGCTTCGGGGTGTGCGCAATCCAAAGATTGCAAAGAAGTGTTTATATATAGTTATTGCATCCCAATCTTGGGCAAGTTCCTATTAGTTATTTACCCGTAAATAAATATTTTGCAATCGATTTTATCCGAAACCAGTTTTCTCAAATCATTTGTAATCGCGCGCTGACAATTCGAAATTTAGAAACAAGAAACACGTGCGTGTATTTAAATTTTTGAAAAAAAAATGGGTGAACAAAAAAATGAATTGAAACACATACCGCAATCGCGATCGGAAAACAGGAATTCTAATTAATAATTATTTCCTTAGAATAATTAATTTGCGTATTATACATATATTATACAATAACAAGGAAATAGGAAGTCATCATCTTTAAAGAACGTGACAATTTTTGTCAATTCTCTCAAGTTCTCGTTAAGGGAAAACTGAAAATTTAATAATGTACGAGGAAAAAATTAATGTTGAAAAATAATAATACGATAATGAATATGAAACAATTTTAAAATAGAAAATACCTTTAGTGTAATTTTTAATTTTTATTCAATTTTAATGAGAATTTGTTGGAATTTTGTTTTCTTGGGCCATTAGAAAAGGTACCCTTTTAAAAGAAACATTTTTTGAAAATTCTTTGAAAAGAAATAAAAATGAGTAATATGGCTTAATGAGTTAAATGGGTATAATATCCACAAGGAAATTAACAAGCTTAGTCAATGAATGGTGACGAAACAGTCATTACTTCTTAACAGATAGCAAATATTCTATGCGTTAAGGTCAAAATGGCGTTTGCTTCGGTTGTCACGTAGGAATATTGCGTGAAACTCAACTATATACAACACACGACACTAATACAAAAAATGATGCAATAATGCTTGGTAATTTAATAAAGCACCACTCAACATTGTTCTATTTCACTTCTCCTGTTTCGTGTCGCTTCAAATATTAACATTTTTGTTGCAAGAAACAAAAATTTACCCAAATTTTCTCATATCTTCAACAAATCAGAAACAAAAATTAGAAACAAAATTTGTTCATCAAAACATTGGCAATTTTAATGAGGCAATATTATCAAAAAGTTTTTACCCTCTAAACCTGAAGAAGCGATAAACGGAACGTTCAAAACTTTTCGGAATCATTAATGATTCCGAAAAGTTTTGAACGGAACCGTTTATCTAAAATACTCTGAAGGTTCAGAACCTTTCGGAATCATTAGTGATTCCAAAAAGTTGTGAACTAGTTTAGATGAATTTTTTATTGCAATATTAGTCTCTTTCTGACGAGTATTTTTTTTTTGTGAATATGTTCATGAGTAAGAACTCGAACGTTCACAACTTCTTTAAATATACAGATGATGCTAATTCGGATGTCGAGAGGATTGAGGCAACAAAAAATTTCTGTGGTAATATTTTCGAAAAGGATTTTTCAATGAGGTAACCTCAACAAAAATACAAATGTGGAAATGGAATAATATTCAATTTAGCAATTTCGGACACAACATTGTCTGACAGTTGTATACAAATGTGTGTGGCAATTGGACAATACACAATTTAGCAACGGTTCAAAATTAAACGTTACATATGTTTAGAAACTAAACAATAAGTGTATAGAGTGAAAATGTTTAGGTTTCGTACACTGTACAATAATATACGAAATTCCGAAATGATAATACAGAATTTATGGTAGTTTTTACCATAAGTTCTATATGCTATACCATACACCATAAATAAATATTTAAATAAATTAAATCAGGGAATATTTTGTTAGTACTTTTCTGTTAATCTTTAGTACTGAATATGGAACATTAAGAGAGCTTTGTTCAAAGGTATTTTTGTCAAATGGTAAATTAGTCAACACTGTGAAAAAGGAGAAATTTGAAATACAAGGTGGAAAGATTGTTATTAAATCGCCAGGAAACGATACTAAATCGAAAATGAGAAGTGTTAGGAGAAGAGAAATAAACTTCCTTATGGAATGGCTTGAGTCATGTCTGGAATGTTTACCATGTAATAGAATTATAATGATCAAGTGTCGTAATAATAAAAGTTTGCGCGCGATTATAACAAATAAGTGCGATAAAATGATGATCAAAAGGCATATTTGAATGATTCGTAATACGTGTTGTGTTGTTCGTCACCAAAAAAAGTCTCTTAAAAGCCAGAGAAACATTTGTATTCAAAAAGACAATTGATATCTTGGTATTTGTTAATACAGAGCATTATAAACAAATATCAATATATTGGTTTTTAACAAGACGATTAAAACTCGTCGATAGTCACTGCACTTTGCACTGAACAACTGCGACACTGAAGATGTCATCGTCAAAAATAAGATATACCCATCCTATGCCTTTTGCTCCATTTTTCAGTTAACATTCAGTAATTTAATTTCTAATTCAAAAACTGATATATACCTTTAATTTCGCTCTAAAAAAGACTCGGTAATTTCTCATCGATATCACAATAAAAAACCATTATTTGCCGATTATGTTCCTGAACGGGGGTTGGTTAGGATCCAAAACGTTGATTCACGACCGTTGTTGTTCTTCTTCCCCTCACGTTATTTTCACAATATTATCCCGCGTAAATGGGGAATCTCCTCTTTTTTTTTTGAATTTATTTCTCGTTTTGTTTTTGGAAAAATCTCACAGAGTGACACTTTGAATGGTAATATCAGTGTGAGGATTTATTCTGAGTGGAGTGGAGAATTTTTGTTTTGAAAACAATAATAGGAGCGGAAATAATTTGATAATCCGCGCAACGGACGGACCAACGTTGGGCCGACCTCCGCTCAGAAACGTCGGCGGCAGGAGAACAAGTAAACACGATCCGAGCACGCCATTGTGCAACCAACGACTGAGGCAGCAGTTTGTACTTTTGCTAGACTATCCGGTGGTTGTTGGCTGAACGCGCGCCTGTGTGCGCTGCCAGTTTTCTTCTCCCCACCTTTTTCTTTTTATTTATTTTATGCTACGATGAATACACTCACAGCTGAGGTAGGCAAGGTTCATTCAAAATCTAAGGTTGTCTCTTGTTTGATATCACACACAGCGTGGTGTATTTGAATTTTTCTTTTTTGGAAATTTTGACCGCGAAAAAATTGTTCCTTGAATTGATGTTCTTTTAGCTACAATGTGTAATTTTAGTTGGGTTTGATTTGGAGCATTTCGGGAAATTTTCATCTGGTGCTGCTAAATGTTCTGCTAAATTTGCTAAACTTGGAAAAGTTTGCTAATTTTGCTGAACTTTCAGCTTCAGAGTTTTCTAGACGAAAAAAGTAACTTTTACTGCTTTTGCAGCAATAAAATTATTTAGTATTATTTTAGCACCAAACTGGATTTAAATAACCTGCATAGCTTCAATCCATCTGCATCTTCAATCCACTAAAATAATTTAGTTATAATCCATCGAAGAATTATTTTTTTCCAAATGATTACAAATGATTTGATTTCGATTCAGAGACATTTTCTTATGTCATAGGAAAACTCAAACCAGAAATGAGTTTTTTTAATCATTTTTGGTGTAAACTTAAGCTGTGGCACTTTATAATACCGGATAGTTTACTGTAAAAAGTAATCCTTTATTTGTTTTCCTGTAAATTTTAAAAATACTTGTAAAAATCGGTATTCTAAATAATGAATTTTAGAAGAGTTAGCAAAATTTTTATAGCTTTGCCAAATTTTGAGCTGGGGTTATGCTTAAGGTTCGTTCTTATTTGTTGACTCTAGCCAATGTTGCTAAACTGTGTTAAATATCTGTTTAATTTTGCAAATACTTTTGATAAAAATTGGGTCATTTGGCTAATAACTCCATCTGTATTTTATTGCAATTACTTGGAAATTGGGTCATTTGGGTAGAATTCCATCATTATTGTCAGCTCTTGTTCACGTTTCATCACAAAATTAGACAATGCTGCAAGGAGTTAGGATTTTAGGCCCATAGAAGAAATCTATCGGATTGCATTATTGTACATGTCAGTAAAAATATTTCCATATACTGAACATTTAGTTGCATAAGATTAGGCATTATTTTCTTCACTCTACATTCTTTTTTGTGAAATATGAATAATCTAAATTTTAGATCAATGCAACTCTGTTTTTGGGCCAATTCCAGATTTTTGAAACTTAAAAATAGTAACATTTGGGGTATCTTTTTAATTTTTTGATAATCAATGTATTACTTTACAATATATTAGTATTGCAGCATATGAAGCAGCAGCAACATTGAGAAGTTTCGCAATATTGAGACAATGTTGTTAATGTTGTACAATTTTTAATAGAGGATGGTACAGATTAATTTAGCGAACTTTTCTATTTTCTTTATTTTGAAATGATAGTAAATAAAAGAATAGTTCTCTATACTAGAATGTTAAATGAAGGATGGCACAGGTACTAACCTGACTATGAGAAACCTTGGTGTAGACACGATGAATGAAGTGGTTGCGCTTGCGCTAGATTACGGTCCAGAATCGTCACCGCAAAATGAATACGTGGACACATTTTAGCACTGACACGCGTTTATATGTTGACTTAAACTATAATTTACGAACACGTGTGACCTTATGTAGACTCACGTTATTGTGTTTCAACGTGGAAATTCGATAATACTTATCCTTGAATGGAAATGTGATGTCACTTCACTTTGATTCCTAAATCAGTATATATGTACTCAATGCGAGTGATTCGTTTCATTATGGGGCATATATACTTCCTTTACCTCTACATATATATTATACTAATGCGTATGAGTTGTACGTACGTGACCTACAACACATACGTTCAATTGTAAAAAAAGATTCTTATTTTTAGATGAATCTAAAATTTAGACATTGCTCCTCACAATGTTAATCATCATCATCATCATAATAATCATTGTCATCATTATGCTAATCATCCATTGTGTAAATTTAGCATCTGTCGCAAAAATTATGCATCTGAAGATGCATCTAAATAAGCTTTTTACTTTTTAGTAGGAGTCTGTTGCTTCAATTTTGTAGGGAATTTAAAAAATTCTTGTAGGTGATGCAAAGAAATTTCTGCAAGTGATTCTGAAAATGAAAAACATTGCTTTAATTTTTTAGAGATTTACGAAATATTTTTGGGTAATGCCAGCAAATATTGCAGCAAGGAAATATAAAAATGGAAAACATTGTTTCAATTTTGAGGCATATTTTTGAAATGCCTATAGATGATGCTAGAAAGTAAATATAAAAGTGAAAACATTGCCTCAATTTTGTAAATTTCTTGTTTTGTGGAAATATTTGTAGGTATAAAGCTAGCATAATAAAAACTTGCTTAATAGTAAATATGAAAATGAAAAACATTGCTTCGATTTTTCGAGAAATTATTGAAATATTTATTCAGATAATGCTATCACAACATTGTTGCAAATTCAGTTGATACTTCAGGTGCTATACTGACTATGGAAGATACGACTTGACGTACAATATTGACCCAATTTCTCGGAAGCACTGATACCATCAGTTCATTTACCCAAAGTTGCGAACGCAGAAACTAATTCCAAGTTTTGAATTTCAACATTCGAGAAATAAATGAAACTACTTATTTCTTCCTGAACTATAATGTTCAGTAAGTATTAAGTATATGGTATCAGATTCTTTCTGTTTTCTTCTTTTTATTCTCTTTTTATTTACTTAGAAAAATTTTTACTTTTGGTAAATGTTTTATACCAAAAGTAAAAGTATGTGTCTATAGACAGAATTTCTGCTTCTGTATTGAGGGGAATTTTTTTCTCTATAAAGATTCAGTTATAATGTAGAAAAAGTATATACAAATATATTTTTTTAGATTGTTTGTATTTTTCTTTGATATATATATATAACAGTGGCATCAGAAAAATTTATGTGAGACAATCATGCATTTTGATTGCGTTATGTGTACCGAGGTCTTAGGTTTACTCTTACCACTAATTATCATGTATCCATTCAATGTTAGTGTATGAAGTCACAAGTATATACCAAATGAGGATATAATATCACAAGCAATACAGTAGATGATTGCGTATAAATACTCCTGCTTTGATCATATGTTTGTGTCATATTCCCTCGACGGACATCATTTTCTTTTGTACAAACACATTTTATATTTGGAAAATTCATCTATTATTAATATTATTAATATTAATACTATAATATTTATGGAATTAATAATACTATTTTTATATTTAGTATAAATATTATTACTATTAATGATAATATTTATAATATTTATAATAAGAAAAATAACAATAATAAGATAAATAATAATTATAACAAAAATAACAAGGTTGACAAAAGAAAGGTCATGGTCAGGAAAATCAGGGAAATGTCAGGGAACTTTATCAAAATTACTGCAAAAATATCAAATTTCTGGAATTATTACAAAATTCTGTTTTTTGGTGTTTTGGTCATAAATATTTTTGAACATTTTTGGAATTACTACAAAATTCTGTTTTTTCGTGTTTTGGTCATAAATATTTTTGAACATTTTTGGAATTACTACAAAATTCTGTTTTTTTTGTGTTTTGTTCAGAAGTATTTTTGAACATTTCTGAAATTTCTATAAACTTCTGATTTTTGGTGTTTTTTCCGAAAATATTTTTGAAAAACTTGAAAAATCTTGAATTCTCCCTTGAATTTCTTTTCCCCTGAAAAACTTTTGAATGACAATGAAAATTTAAAACAATCCTTGATTTTTTATTATATTTGCAAACAATTAAATTTATTTTAAATAATTGAATTCTAGATAAAAAAAATTTTTGAAAGTTATTTATTAAATCTAATTAACTTAGAAAAGATTTTAGTTAAACATTGCTGAAATTTTCAGAAATAATTGAATTTCAGAGTAGATTTTAAATTAAAATTGTAAGAAAATTTAATTGTGAAGAAATTAATAGTAATTAAATGTTTATTTAAAAAATTATTTAAGTTTTAAATAATTGCCTTTAAGATTCAAATAATTTTATTTAAAATTATAAAAAATGCGGTTTTTGAGAAATTTTAATTCTATTTTTTCAAGATACTTCAATTTTTAAAACAATTTTATTAAAGAATTATAAAATTATGTTTTAATTTAAACTTCTTAACTGACTTGAAATATTATGAAATTGAAATATTTATGTAAATAAATAATGTACATAAAAATATTTATTTAAATATTGAATTTGAAAATAATTAAGTTTGTCAGAGCATTTCATTACAGATTTTGAAAAAAAGAAATTTCAAAGAATTTTAATCTAATAGTTAATTTTAAGATAAGATTTAAATTAAAATTTATTTAGTTTGAAGAAAAATTTTTTAAAAAATGTTAATTTTATAATTAGTCAAATTTAATAATTTTAGGAAGATTTAGATTAACATTTATTTATTTAAAAAAAAGAATTTTCAAAAAATATTAATTTGATAATTAGTTAATTTTAAGAAGATTTCAATGAAAATCTATTTATTCATTTATTTCCGAAAGGATTTATTTAAAATTCTAAAAAATTTGGGTTTAACATTTTCAATTTTATTTTTTTTTTAATAATTGAATGTTTATAAATAAATAATTGAAAATTTTGAAAACAATTGAAATTCTCTGAAATTGTATTAAAAATAATTGAAGTTTTGGTTAGAATTTATTGCAATTTTTGAAAATTTATATACCTATTTATAAATTTATTTCCGAAAAGTTTTATTTAAAATTCTGAAAAATTTTGGTTTAAAATTTTCCAATTCTATTTTTTAAAGATAATTGAATGTTTAGGTATAAATAAATAATTGAAAATTTTTTAAACAATTGAAATTCTCTGAAATTGTATTAAAAATAATTGAATTTCTGGTTAGAATTTATTGCAATTTTTGAAAATAATTACAATAGTAATGATATTATTATAATAAGAAGAGAAAAATTAATCAGTTAATTTTA